ATTTCTTGTCCCCTCTTTCGCAGTGGAGTGTGGAAATACACAGATACACAGATACAAATTGTTGAAATGCTGCGACAGCATTATTAATGTGCCATGCTCCACTTAGGATTCCCATGGAGATACAAGACAGAGGACACAGATGTAGGCCGCCGAGTCATGTAAAGGAAAGATCCCCTGTAACCTCCACCCCACTACTCCCCACTCCACTCCACTCCCCTCCACTCCATTCTTTTCTTTTCCCTCCTACCCCTCTCTGCTTGAGCTTCTTTTACACGGTTTTTTTGGCCAAAAGAAAAATCAATTGATTGACTGCGATGGCCAAATTTTCTGCACTTTTGAACGCGTCACAAGAAATTTAGATTTTGAGATTGTACGTTTCGGTATTTTGCCTCGTTCTGTCTCTGTCTCTTTTCGCTTTTGGTTCCTCTCGCTCTCTCTGTCTGTCTTTCTTGTTCCTTCTGCTTGTGTATTCCCTATCCCGCTTGCTCCTCTTGTCGCACTTGATTTATTCTGCTCGTTTAGCTTAAAATTTGAATTTTTCCCCCTTGACTTTTTGGCATATTTTCACGAATTTTCGAAACACTTTATAATATTTTGTTGTTGTTGTTGCTGTTTTGTGATTTTCTTTTTTCATGTTATTTTGTATTTTGTTATTTGAAATTTGATTATTTTGTACGACTCTTTTCCCGTTTAGTTTTTCTTTTATAGTAGGAAAAACCAATCCTGCACTTACACGCATCGATGTGTGTGGGTTTATTTTTTCATTTTATCGCGCTTTTATTTATTTTCCTTTCATTTTATTCTTTTTTCCAGGTAAGCTACAACAATCGTATCCCGTATCTATTGATGGTCAGGCCGCTTGACTGACTGACCTGACTGACTGACTGACGAACACCTCGAAGAACGGTACGGTACTCAGCTCGACGCGTCTCGACACGATTACAACACCACGACGGTGCACGTCCAGTAGTTCTCATACGTACAGGCAGGCAGCACCACACACGACGTCCGACCGACAAAGAGCATTTGTGTGGGGCCCATGGGAGCATCTCGCTTTTCCGCGGGGCTTTTCTTTTGCTGCCTGCGTTGGTTGGACGTCGTGGTGGATTTCCAACAGCTGTTTGGCGGGAGAAGTTCGACTGTGCTGGGTGTTTCGGAGGAGAGCAGTGCGCACAGGTGTTCTGGGTGAGATGACATTTTTGAGTTTTTATGAATTGAATTTATATACATGGATATGTACATATACATATATATGTATATGTATATCAGTACATTGTACACATCTACATACAAATTACATTTTTTTATGCTCAATGTTTAAGCTGAGAACATTTGTATATCGGGGAAAATGGGCTATAAAACGAAGCCCATCCGATAATCCTGATACTGAATATTAATATGAATTATAATACCCTCTAAGCAAAGGAAAGCACAACAAGTTTACGCACACTTTGGGTTCGATGTGACGTCGCACAACGCGCCGTCAGCTTTTCTCTAACATGTTCGATGGGGCTCTCACATGCTCGCAACCGCTGAGTTGTGGTGGAATATTTAATTCGAACATACAAATATACAAGCATAAACATTTTATTTATGGTCATTTAGTTAGCACGGCAGAACAAAGACAGGACTTGGAGACTGGAGTAGGTTGGGGCCACGACAGCTCAGTCTCCTTGTGCACAAATTTAAAGCATATGTTCCATTCTTTTGTATTTCGGTTTTTATCACTCATTTAACTCAAGGACATGTGCGTGTGTGTGTGTGTGTGTGTGGGGGAGGGGAAAATTCCTGCTCTTTTTTTTGTGGGATTTCCTTCCTTTTATCGCGCTGACCAGCAATGAATATAAATTATGCCTCAAGTGACAGAACGACAGGACAGCAGGACAGCAGGGCGAGGATGTTGTGGCTAAACAATAATAAAGAAAATTCTGCACGAATCGTTTTTTATATTGGGGAAACTGATAGACTAGCGAAATGCGAAAAATTGTGAAAAATACTTGAAAATAATGGGGAAATCTCGTTACAAAAATGTTAAATGAAAGCATTTTGATGGTTTTAATCAAAATAGCCGTTTGATAGTTTCAACTTAAAACTAAAAAATAGGACTAGATAGTTCCGGCTGTGCTGATCGAATTGGTATTCGGTACTTAAAGGAGAGAGTTTTTGTTTTTTATTTTATGTGAGAGTGCGTGCAAGCGGTTCATTAAAAGCACTTATAAATCGGTCAATTAAAACGTGTGTCTAGTGGTGCGCGCGCGCGTTTAAATGCAAGTCAATTGAAAATTGCCAAATAACATTCCTCAACGCAACGATCATTAAAAGCAGCAACTACAACGCAACGCAACAAAAGAACATCGCAAATAATATTTAACGCTTTAGCATTATGCAAATTGGTAAGTCTTTTTGTTTTTGGTTTTACATTTTTACGTTTTCATTGGTAGATTTTTTAATTATCTATTTTCTTTATCATTTTCTCAATTTATTTTTTGTATATTTATATTTTTTCCTCATGTTGATATTTTATCTACATATATGTTCTGTTATTTTCTATATTATATTTTCTAGCTATATATTTTTTTTGCCAACAACAACAAACAACAAAACTTCTAAATCATTTTTACTTGCGATCAGATCAGCTTTTGTCAGCCTTAGCGAATACCAGAACCAACTTATCAACAAGCAGTTCAAGCAGTAAAACGGCGTGCATATTTCTAGCGTTTTCAACGCGACTTTTACAGCTCTCTCATCTTCGTGGGAGATCTTGCCAAGAAATGCCATTAAAACAAAACTTTTGGCCTGTCCCAGATAGCTGTTGCGTCACGGGCAGAAGTTAGGCATCAATGGGGCGCTTGGAGGCAGGCAGACAACAACCTTTTTTGATGGTTTCATTAGCCAATGGACCACGCAATAGGCCAGCACCATCCCGCCCCTGGTCTGGGCCAAGCCTCTAATTAACAATTTCGTAATTGAAGCTAAGCCCCGCATGTGTGGGGAGGCTACAGCCACCAGGGGTGTGTGGAGGAGTGGCGGCCAGTGGCGGGGGCCCTTCAGTGGGTTACGGTTACGGTTACGTTACGCATTGTATTATTTGGTCCCGATTGGGCTCTCCGCTTTTGATTAATGAGCAGCTTAAGTGAATCTCAAACGGAATCTGAGCCTGAATCGTGTGTCCAGACTCAGAGACTGATGAAGTCACTAATTTGACTTAAAAACGCATTAAAAACCATTTTCGATAAGAGCTCTCTGGCACATGGTCTCGTCTTCCCTCCGCCTCCCCTCTAGCCACTAAGTCCGAAAGACAGGCCAATCGAATGCCGAAGACGATTTCAGTTAAGGGTTTTCCCGTACTTTTCTGCCCGCGTCTCGTGCTCTAGGTCGCCTTTGTGAAAGTTGTGCAAAAAAATAAAAAAATATAAATAGACCCAAAAAACCAAAAGCCAAAAATCGAAAGATTAAATTCCAAAAACGCCTCGAAAGATGGGAAGGGGGGTGCATACCCATAGCTTTTGCTTTATGGGACATTGCCTATTGGCAATCAACTGTAAATATAAATAATGATAGACAATGCGAGGGGGGACTGTGAAGTCGAACAAATGATACCCTCTAGTCCGAATTCAACATTGAAATTATTATTGAAAATCCTTAGACATTTATAAATGCCACAAAGTATCCAAAGATATTTTAAATATCCAGAAATATCCAGAAATATCCAGAAATAACCAGAAGTGCTGTGGATTCTTGCACTGTAGTAGGAAGATTTCTTTGCAGTTGCTTTAAGCAAGACAAAATCGATATTACGCACAAGCACACAGCTCTCAATAGTCTAATGTTTATTTATCTTGTTTTCAGCTCAAAAAGTAGACAAAACCATTCGTTCCCCTGTACTCTTTCGTATGGAGTTCTCTACCCTAGGAAATGCTCCTCCAGAGCTTATCCTGCCATAGCACGAATCCACCCACTTGCTACCCCTTGCAGGCTTTGCCCACGACGAATCCCAAAATTGATTTAAATGCTCATTCGAGGGGGAGACAGAGACAAAGACAAAGAAGACCAACCGAGGTGCCGGTGCTCTGACGCTGACTCCTACAATTGTGCGTGGTATTGGGTGGGGGCCATTAAAAGCATTTTTTTTTCTCGCGTCTCATATCTTGATATCGCGGTGTTTCGAATGACTGCTGTGTCCATGTGTGAGATCTCTCCACAATGTCTTGGTCAGAGCAAAAACAGCAACGACAGAGCAGCACCAGCAACAGCAGCAGCAACAGCAGCAACAGTCACAAAACAAAAACCTAAGACAGATAAAAGCTGTTAAATGACCTTCATTGGCCATAAAAAACCGAAAATCACCATCGAAACAATGAATTGTATCTATGGCCAGAAGAGCAACAGAAACAACAGCAACAGCAACAACAGCAACACAAACAAACAAAAATGATTGGCGAAAAATCGAGAGAAAGAGAGAGAGAGAGAGATAGGAAAATTTACAATTTAAATAAAAATTCACTTTATTGCAGTTTCGCATATCTGGCGACAATGTAAAACAAACAATAAAAACAAAAACATCCAATAAATAAAGGGGGGGGCCAAAACACCCAATGGACTTCCGGTCTTGAATCGAGCCACATATTGAAATCGATTCCAATTCCAACAGCAGACAATACATTCATCGTCGTATCATATATCCATCATCCATAAATGAATCATTGAATCGATTGGAGTGGTTCGGATTAGGTCTGATCGGGTTGGGTCGGGTCGGGGCGGCTGGCAAAAGTTCAAAGTTGATACGCAAGACAAAAAAAACCATTCGGAAGCGCGGCTAAATTGAGAGATTAGCCAGTGAGCCATCAACAGTGGATGGAGTGCCCTAACACTAACACTCACACTAACCGGCATTACGCCTCGTCTGGAGAGAGGTTAGGTTTGTCTGTCTGTCTAGCCGTCTGTCTCTGGGGTTCGCGCTGCCTGGGTCTCTGTCTCTGGGGGTCTCTAAACTTGGCTCAGAGTGGCGCTCATCAGTTGGCTATGAGAGCTGCCGTCGAGAGCTTGGCTATAGCGCGATACGGAAAACGAAATCGAAACTTAAAAACAGAAACAGAAACTGAAACCAAAACCGAAAATTCAAATTGAAATCTCCATCCATCTGCACCCCCGTCTCTCCCACACACTGCGCTCGTTCGGTACGTGTTAAGTTTTTTTAATTAGCTGAATTTTCAAGTGAATCTGTGGCCAACACGAAAACAAAAACAAAACAACGCAAAGCAAAACAAAAGAGAAAATTATACAAAAGTAATACAAAACACAATCCAACAAAATAAAAGCAGCATTAAATGCCACAGAAGAGAGATGTCTGTGAGGTGAAGTGAATAAATTCCAAGACAACAAAATCTAAAAAAAAAATATATATATACTTGGAAGATCATCCCAAAAATCTGCTTAGATTTCGAACAAGATATTTGTGGAGAAATCCCAAAACACAAATATCTGTGTGTGTGTGTTTTCTGCCGAGTATAGTATATAATTGCCCGGGTGAGTAATTAATAATGCGAATAATTTAAATCCCCCTCCCTCGTGCAATAAATTAATACAAAAAAAAAAGCAACAACAACAGCAACAAACTCAAACATTGATTTATTATAACATTTTTTTTTTTTGCTTGCTGTTTTTTATATTTTATTTGCTGCTTTTGCTGCACATGTAACGTAACCTAACAAAAATTAAGAAACTCCACAAAAATTAAATCAAATCGCAAACACAGAAAAAGAAACCTGGCCTGGCCTTCCATAGCCTTGAAAATTCGTGCTTAATTTCTCAGTTAAACGCAGGCATAAAATATATATTTTTTTAAATTATAATGAAGCTCCCCTCCCCAGAAGAGGTTTTTCCGTTATTTCTTTTGGAAATCGTTCCCAAAACATAGTCGTTCAAAACTCAGAAGAAGATTCCAGTCCAAGCCCCATCCTCATCGTGCACTGTCAGGCTAGCCCAAGGGAATCCGGACTGCTTGCACGTGTTGGGATTTCAACATCGCTCTCGTGCTCATCAATCAATATCAATGGTGTTAAACGACCTATGGCCATAAGGTTTTGTTGGCTGGCGGTCCCAACCGCATCGCTCAAATTGGTTCAAAATCCGAGTCCATGAAGTAAAATATTATAGTTTCTTTTTTGTCTAGATTTTGGTTCTTAAAGTGAAGAATTTCTCATAGCGACGTTTCGAATAATGCTAGGGTTTTTGGATATTGCTATAGTTTACCTTCAGTATGTGCTTCTAATTAAGCTCTAGTCCCTCTACGCTTTGTATAAGTATCTCTAGTAATTGTAGAACCATTAGGAGACTTTGATTTCATTCCACATGATTGCATGAAATCCTCTAATAGCTCTGAAAGTGTATAGGATATTCCTTTAGATTTCAATGTGAAAATGATCTTTTCAAATAACAAAGAACTCATCTATGATGAATAAAAGAGATAAGGATTCTTTGGAATTGTTCTTTAGAATCAAACTCAAACATTTGAAGCCTCAAGGAATCAATTATCTTGGATCACTTTTGAATGCCTTGCTCTTGATAAAAAGAAACAGCTTGTATAGCATAAATAATCCTTCAAAGAAGCTTTAATTGAATGACAAAACTTTAAAGATTTTTGCTAATTAGACAGCAGATAAATTTCTAGTCTCCTCTTACCACAAAAGCACCCAACAAATGAACAAGTACGAGTTTTTTCTTAAGCCATGTTTGGCTACATTTTGCACGAACGAAGATTAAGAATCGACAATCGATCATTAGTCTGGCGCAAGGCAATTAATTAACTATAGCTATAAATGCTCTCGGGCTTTCGGGCCAAATCATTGAAATAAATTGAGTGGAACACAAAGCATTTTTGAGGGCAGACCGAGGCAGAGCAAATGGATTAGTGGCTCAGCCGCAGAGAGAGAGAGAGGGAGATCTGATCTTTAACAATTTCATTAACCTGTGCGGCCTAATGATGTGCAAATGGCCCAAAACATACCATAAAAAAATCACCCCAGAGTTTAACTTTGGTCTCTGTCTTGTCTGTGTCTTTTCGGGCCAAACAACTTCTTTTGGCTATTTTATGATTTATGAGGTGATCGCTTGACGCAACTTTTTTGGCCGGCTTTGAACCACAGAGAGCTGGGAGGGAAATACCAAAGTGAGGCGTGGGTGCCAGCCAATACTCCATTAGCAGATACCAAAGATTGAACACAAAGCTTCAGGGCTGAGGCTGAGGCTGGGGCTGGGGCTCCACTGACACTTTTGTCATTGATGGTCGATTGTTGATTGATTTGTTCGTTTGTTGGGGGAACTGAGGCTTGTCTCTTGAGCTGCGATCCCGGAAATCCTATGTCAGGTGGCATAAATTCCTACGAATTCCTATTTGTTTGCTGTCACACCACATGACATGCCTCAATAGTGGTTTATGGTTGCTATTTATTCCATATTTTAATTGTGTTACACTTTTTTCTTTATTTTTAACTAAAAACCAGACACGAAATCCGGTTTCCGTGTGGTTCTGTGTGGCTTTGCTCTTGATTCGAGCACTTGTTTTTTTGTAGAAAAATATACAATTACTTTTATATAATATTGTGTTGTATTTTTAGCCACTTAATTGCAAAGGTTTTTGTGTAATTTTTAATTAATAATTAATTTTATCAAAAACAAATCATTTTTCAAAATGTTCTGGAAAAGTTATAGTTTTTTTTAATGGCATTGCACAGACATCTAATAAATCACTAATGTTTATAAATACTGTCATTATCTGTCAGCTTACGGTCGCCGTTGCCCCCAGTCACAATCACAATGGGTGGGTGTGTGTGTGGGCGTGTCTGGCGTGGCGTATACTTAATCTACGTATACTTGATCTCCGCTCCGATGACAGCCTCCATGAGCAGCCCTGCTTTGTCACTTTCACTTATGGCAACTAATCGTTAGCTATTTACGGGAGTTGTTTAAGATGTTGTAATGGTTGTTGTTGAAGTTTATGCTAAAATTGTTGCTGAAGTTTTTTCTGTTCGTGTTTTTGATGGAAATGTGATTGTAGTTCTAGCTAAAGCTAATGTTAGAGTTGCTCAAGGCAGATGTTAAACTCTGTCTTGTCTTAGAGGTGTTGTAATGCCTGTTGTTGTACTTTTTTGAAACCATATTAAAGGTTGTTGAAGTGTTTGAGATGTTGTAATGCCTGTTGTTTAAGCTGTTGTAAATGTGGTTGAGGTTGTTGTCTTTGTTACGGATTGTTTGACACGACAAATACACAGTCAGTGGGCCAACTAATTTGCACTAACAGGGAGGGGATGGGGCGGAGGGCGAGCACTTAAGCCATGGCAAACAAAGGCCATGGCGAGCAAATGGTGTGAAAATTCGCCATTTTCCGCCTTGTCTGCACACTCGTTTTCCCCTTTGGGCGAATGTGATTAATATTTTTATGCAAATCGCAGTTTCTCTTTCGCTAACAGATTGACATCACGCCCTGCCAGCGGCCGAAGACTCAACGACTCGACGACTCGAATGCAAATGCAAATCGACGACGAATGAATCGACAATGACAAAGAGTATTAAATGTCTGCGCACTTCTAGTTGTAATACAATTCTCCTTGCCCATGTGGTGAGTACTACGACTACTACCGACCCCACCTCCTATTCCCATCTATAACTTTGACATTTATTTACAGATATTAGCTTGTACTGTAGCAGCACACAGCTCGCCACCGCCATGCGGTTTGTATGGCGCGCCGCCTTGCCAATTTCTACCGGCACCGCCCGGACAGACGCCCACCTGTGCCCGGCCCGGGAAGACGTATTGCGAGCATGTTGATAATTATCCCACGTAAGTTCGTTAGGACTCTGGTAGGAATATCTGTAGATTCTACAGATGAATCAATAAAAATTCTGCCGAAGGCACTCAAAATAATCGTCCCAGAGATCTTCTCTCCACCAAACATGGCTACGAATTCCCGCTAGCCAGACACACGCTAAGCCAAACGCAGAACTTATTTAGCCAATTAAATCTTGTATTAAAATCCACTTTAAATCAGACAATTTAACGACCAGAGAACATTTGAGATGCTTCCAGCAAATAAAAAAACCAAGCCAAAGCCTGGATTGATTCAATTAAATCTTGAATTAAATGCTCAAATTAATGGACAAGCACTTAATGCTTTATTCTTACTTGAAATGCGCCCATCTCAAATGCAATCTCTACAGAGATAAATCTCTGTGAGACTTGAGCAAACACCGCATAGCCACTTCATTCAAATGCATTTCAAACAAATGTTTGGCCACGAGACAATTTCAATTTCAATTTGAATTCGCTAACGAATTCGAAACTCGTTCGTCGGCCTGGCCTGGGCAACCAATTAGCATACGGAGTGGAGTATTGGAGCCGACCGACTCGTACGACTGCCTATTGTTGGTTGTTGGTGCTGCTGGCTGCTGGCTGATGCTGCTGCTTCCGCAGACGTGAGCTGCTCTCCGATGATGATGCTATATGGATGCTGGTGCTCTCGGCCAGCTTTGGGGGAACTCCTTGACCCAATAAACTTGAATTGACAGTTCAAGACACTTTTTGTTTGGCTGCGGCTGCGACTCGGGCTTCGTGTTCGCTTAGCGCTGCTTCTACAACTTTGTAGACGGCTACAACGACGACGACGATTCGCCCGCGTGCTTCTTGAGTATTTATGAATGCGTCCAATGAATAATCGTGTCTTCGGGCATCATAAGTTGCTCTCAGCCGCCTCTAGCCGGCACTTGGCATGTGGTAGCAGGGTGTCTTGAATATGATTAGGGGTTTGTCTTTTAGCTGAATTTAAGAGACAGATGGCTAGAATTAAAGATAGATATCAAATTATAGAATGCAGAATCAAAGAAGGAACAAATTTAAATACTTGCTGACATTTATCTATGCTACCTCCATCCATCGTGGCAATAGAATAAAAGAATTAAATACAAATTAAATGAAATAGAATATCTCCCTCTCAGAGCAGTTCTTATGCGAAGAACAAACGTTTAAATCTAATGTTAAATATGGAAATTTCCGTGCCTATATTCTCTCTCTTTCATAGAGCATTCCATATTCTTCATTCGTCTTGAGAGTCGAGTCTTTGGTCTTAGTTATGGAAAACCAAATGATGTGATGTTTGTTTTTGTTGTTTGTTTTCGGTTTGTTTGGTGCCACCTTCGCTGGCTCGGACTGGTTGCTGGCCATGTTTGTGCATCTGTGCAGCTGTCCGTTTTGTCCGTTTGTCCAATGCTATTTTTAGAGCATTTCTTTGGTGCAGATTTAAATAAAATGTGCGTTAGGCGGTAATGGTAATGCCAATGATAAGCCCCTGGGCCTGGGCCTGGCGCCGACGCACCAATTAAATAGGCATTTTTATTGCAGCCCTTGCTGCTGGTGGAATGCGTTGCATAATTATTAAAATAAAAAAAAAATCATATGGGAAAGCCCAAAGCGAGTTTGTCAGCTGGTGGTGGTGGGGGGGCCTAACTCAGGCCTTACTCTTATTTTCTTTTGGGAATAAGAGTCGCGGAGTCGCAGTGTGTGTGTGTGTGTGTGTGGCACGTGACGGGCATGCGATGCATGCACCTTGATATGGGCCACCCTGCCAATTTATAATTTACGACCATCTACGTCTCATATTTGCCCGTCTTCTGTCTGTCTGCCTGTCTGTCTGTCTGGAGCCCCGTGGCTGCATATTAATTATGGTATTTGATTTGGCTTGAGCAACAGCACAGCACAATTACCATTTCCACCACCAGATACGATACGTATTGAGGCAATTGTTGTCAGCCTTTCTGTGTATGACTTGCATAACTTGCATGCGGCTTTCCCAGTCTGCTGTTTGAACATCTCTTGTGGCATGTTGCATCAGCCCCAGTTTCCATTGTCTCCTACCATTTCATCTCTTCTCGCAGCTATCTCATCAAGAGTCTCGTCCGCAAATGGGGCTATGAGGCCGGCACACTGCTGGTGGACGAGACCTGGGAGGATTTCGCTGCCGTGGCGTGGCACGAGACGCCCGTCTTCTATGATCCCAAGTCCATCTTTCCGCCGCGCGATCCCAATACACAGGACTTCAATGGCTACAGCTATCAGACGCCATTTGGTGGCAGCTCTCAAAGGGTTAACGGTGGCAACTCTCTCTTTGCCAGCAGCCCCTCAACCGAGGCACCAACGTGAGTACACACATCGACTTAATATTTGACGATTGACTCAGAGAAAGCTCTCCCTGCTCCATAGGTATCTGCTTTATACCTCCTCGGGGGGTGGCGGTCATGGTCATCGATCTGGACAGCGCTACAATCATCAGGCTGCGGCAGGATCTGCGGGTCAGCTGTTCTTCAATCAGGCAGGCAAGACCACACCATACAATGCCACGCTCTGGCTGAAACGTTTGGTGCGGGATCTAAGCCGCAAGCAGAAAGAGGAAGCCCCAGAGGCGGAGCAGAAGCAGCAGCAGCCAGAAGAAGAGCACCCAGTGGTGGCTGCGGCAGGAAAGGAAGACAAGCTGCTGGAGAAGGAGCAGCAGAAGCAACAGCCAGAGGAGGATGAACAGCAGCTGGAGCACCATCAACTCAAACGCGATGTCTCGCTCAACATGGATCTCTTAGATATTGTGGGTGTGGCCGGTAATCCCTCAAAGAAGCGCTCTCGCACCAAGCGCCAAAGTCCCGGCCGCTCCACGCTCTGCCAGACCACCTCCCAGTTCATTACGCCGCAGGCCGCCCTCAATAGTCGCGGCAACTGGATGTTTGTGGTCAACGAGCAGAACACCGCTCGCCAAATGGTCAAAGCGGAGCTGTGCGCGTAAGTCGAACATCATTCAATATACCATAACCTCATGCCCAATGGGGGAATCTGTAGCTGGTCCATCGATTGAAGGCAAATCAAAGAGAATTGACGAATTTACCTTGTCCTAAAGTGCGAAAGTTGGGGGAGCTTTTATCTGAGAGATTGCAAACCGAAATCTATCCTCGATAGAATGATGAGCAACCAGCATGGTCTTAGGCCTTCTTTTTGGCAAATCCGAAATTTCTCAAAATATTTTCATAAAAAGTTTGGGTAGGGCTGGTTATTTGTACATTAAAAATTGTCATTAAAATTTTCACCGTTACCGCCACCGGACATGCGTCAATAAAAAGTGCGTACAATAAAACATATTGAGATACGTGCCAGAAATTTCAAACCAAACCCCATAGGGCCCTTCCCTCTACAATCCACTCATGTGAGTCACAGAGACAACACTTTAAATTAAATCAGAACTCAAATATGCCAGAAATATGTACAATACATATTCAAGTCTTTGCCCACCCCACTTATGGGATCAGTAGTGTGGGTAGGTCCTGCAGTCCGTGGTTGTAGCAATCCTAGAGATACATTTAATACAAGCAGTAAACTGCTTTTGACGCTGCTTAGCCAAGACACGACCCTTTTTCTTCTACTTTACATATGTATGAATTTGTAAACATCATGTAGAATGTAAGCAAGCTGTTGATTATTTTTACCTTAAGCAGCCAGACAAGCAGCTCAATTTAAATTTGGGCGCCAACTCCAACAGACCACGGTACGAAAATTGTTCATGGAACGATGGGTGAAAACGCTCCCATCAGCGTATGTTTTTAAGCTAGCAGCAGGCCCAATTGAAGCTGCACAGAACTGCAGGATTTCGTCAGATGCATTAACCAGATGCATTCTGGCCAGTACTGAGAGGAGATTATGGCAAAGGCCAAAAGCTATCCCACTGTCTTTGCACTAATTCCTTCTCTCGTTGTCGCCATTAATCCTCCCCTCTTAATGGTGTGACCTGTTCGTTCATCCATGCATCCGTGAAGTTGCAATTGCCGTACCCTGCCTTCTATCGCATATCTCCCTACTCCGTTTCACACTTTTAATCAGTGTTTGAGGTGTTAGGACAACCCTCTCCGGTCGCAGCAGGACAGCGGTGACTCAAAAAGTTTCCCCCTTCTTAGGGGAAGTCTCTCACCTCTCTCTCTCTCTCACACCTTCTGGGCTGAGCTGAGCACGTGGGTTAGTGCAGGTCCGGACTAAGGTGTCATAATTGCGGTTAAACGAATTATCACACCCCAGAACCCGAACGAACGGAAATGCCAAAGCAGGGCACAAGATTCCATTAGGCCGGGATACGGGGTACGTGGTACGGGGTCCCCTTTGCCAGCAAACCATTTTGCCCCTGTGCCTGCTGCTGCTGCTGCACGTTCCCCCTACCCCTTACACACAGTTCCTTCCCCTTTTTGGATGCGTGCGATACTCGAAAAACCTTTCCACACTCGAATTAAAAAGCGCAAACAAAGTGCGAGAAAACTAGGGTGATGTGACCGACCCCGTGGCCCGTGGATGGGTCTGTTGTCCGTATACGGGTCTACCTCCGGTCTGGCTCTAGATCTGGGGTCAATTTGGGTTTGCCGTTGCCCTAATTGTTCGTTCTCCCCACACCCAGTTTGGTCCCGTTTTGCTGCCACTTGTTGTGGCACTTGGCGCAATTTGTTTAACCAAATTGAGTACCTACGCAGGCGCGCATAAATCTTGGCCAAAGAACAACAGCCACAGCTGCTTGCTGTGTGTTTGCGCTTCCCCTGACTCTGTCTCTGACTGTGGCTCTGACTCTGCATCTGGTTCCGGGTTAGGACTGGGATTGGGCAACCAAAGTGCCGTTGCCATGGCTGCTCCTTGGGATGCTCCTTATCAATTACGTACGATTTCCCGTTTTAACGAGTTCGTTAAACTTTCAACTCTGACTGAAGCCCCCTCTTCGGCTCCTACATATATCCGACACGGAAGAGGAGGGAGTCCCATCGCCAGTCCAAGTCCAAGTCCCAGCCGTTGCTCTTTTATTTATGGCCGCAACCCACAACTAAATTTCGTACAATTGTTGATTTTTAACATCTTCTCGTATTTACTGTACTTTATGCTCCTCTCTCCCTCTATCTTTTTCTTCCCTTTTTGGACCGTTTTTTTTTTGTTTTTTTGTTTTTTTTTTTTTGCAGCTCGAACACCTGCTCCAACCTGTGCGAGCTGCCCAACGGCTACAACTCGAGATGCGAGCAGAAGTTTGTGCAAAAACGTTTAATTGCGCTCCAGGGCAACGGACAGAATCTGTACACGGACACGTTCTGGTTTCCCAGTTGCTGTGTCTGCACGATAGCTGCCAATTAAACCAGGATGGGCATGAGGATTGCTAGCTGTACACAGGACCATGACAGAGCCAGTGGAGGAGCCGCGGATACAGAACAGGCAGGACAGGAGAAGCAAGATCCCAATCCGTGGACAGGACACATCGGAACCAACGTCACTTGTGCTGAAATACGATTTGAAAATAGTTATTGCAAATTCATAATTGATATCTAAATGTTATATACAAAACACACACTCTCATAGATACACACACACACGCAAACACACACAAACACACACGAATAGCTGTAGCTTTTAGAAATTATAATTTAAAATGGAAACAAACAAAAAGCATCGAGAGAGAATTGAATTGAATTTTGAATTATTCTAGTTGAATAAGTCTTACCCTGTGACGACCCATCCATCTATCGGATCTATCTATCAAATATAATAATACTTCCAGATGATCGTCTCTTCAAGTTTTAAGAATAAACGAAATGCTTGACTTGGGGGCACTAAATATTAATATTAAATTAGTTGAAAAGATGGTTTCAAAGTAAGAAACAGCTAAATAAGTTTCTATCCAGTCTATTACTTTATATGTATTTTATATGCCTCTCGAAAGGGTATTAATTATTCATTCTGAACAAGCTTCGATTCCCCAATCGACAGTGCATCAAAGTGAATATTTCCACAGCAATAATATTAGGAAGGGCCGGGGCCCAGGGCAAATGGCAAATCGGATTTTGTGGTTTTCTAATTAATATAGTTTTCCACTTTCCCAGCTATGTATATCAACGGGCCACAAAGGTAAACCCAACTCTTAATTATGAAATGGCAAAATGAAATTTTCTGCTGCAACAAAAACACGAGATGTGTAGCTGCAACAACACCTGCCACTGTGCTGCGCTGTGGCGCGCTGTGGCGGCAGTGCCCGTGGCTGCTGCAAATGCAATTGCGTTCCATAAATCCAGAAACAATAATCGTAAAATAACATCAGGTGTCACGCGCACGAAACGCGGCTTTCGAAAAAGGGGCCCCACTCGGGCCAAGGGATCGAAGAGAGATGTGCACTGCGAGGATATGTGGCAGAGGATGTCAGAGGCTATGGAGTGGATGCATTGATGAGCCATGCTGTTACGATGTACGCATCTGAGGGATTGGGCCGGAAGGAAGCAGCTGAAAGCTGGTATCTGGTATCCGTTAACGATAGATATATAGATAGAAAATATAGAAATTTTACGTATGAATTTTATTAGAATTTGCTATGCAAATGCAGCAATGCTTTTCTTTTCACTGAAATGTTGCCTCAGCAAATACTGCATTTTTTGCCAAAGAACGATACCCGTACACACATGTCTATGTATGTATGTATATGTTTGTATGCAATTCATTTGGTTATATCATATCATATGCAAAAAGAGAGTGTCTGTCTGTCTGTCTGTGCCATTCCAAGTGGCAATCAAAGATACGATTGCATATCTTGTGTGCATTTTGGTTGTGAAATATTTCACAAAATTCCTAAAAAAAAAGAGATATATGAGAAATATTGATGAATTGAAGCAAAACTATTTGCATTGACTCCTGGCCATGCCCCGAAAATCCCAATTAAAATCAAAGGTGCAACAGCCTCAGCTCAAGCCTGCTGCAAATTGTTTTTCTTTTCTTTTTGGTACCTGTTGTGGAAATGTGAAAATGCATTTTCCAGAGACATGGCCTATGCCAAGTGAGAGAATTGTGTGTGTTTGGGAACTGTCGGACCGACCCCCTACCCACTCTATGGCTATGGCTCTGGCTCTGTGTCCTTCACCCCATGACTGTGTTGAGGGTTAATTTGTCCTCTCTCTCTCTGACTCTCTGGTATTGGGTAGGGGAGGCACACATCCCTGTATTGAATTGTATAGAGTTTTAGCAATGATTAGCATCACACGGAGCGAAATAGAAAACCATTGTTCCAATACGCAGCACCAGGTACAACAACGATACGACATTTGACAAATCAGGTAGGAAATATACAGACACACATACATACGTACAATAAATCTGCAGCGATAGAAAAAGGAAAAATAGAGAAACGTAGAAACAGAAATTGTTACAATTAAAATTCACTGGAGCATATGAAATGTTGACCGGGATGCACATAAGGATATATCTTCAATGTAGATTCTACATGCATACAAATGCATTTTTACCGTTTGAAAAGCGCTTCACAAAGCTCTCTCTAAGGACAACAGAAACAACGGTCAATGTCCAGCTCCTAGCTAGCTCTCCCTCTCTCGCTGAAATGCGGTGTCGAGGAGCAGCTGAAGTTTCTGGCAGAGAGAGCAACAACAACAATAACAACCATAAACAGCGCAAAGGCAGAGCCAGCAACAGCAGCAGCAGCAGCAGAGCAGCAATGACGAGTGCAAAAGGAAGCATCAAAAGCAAACGAACGGCAACAACAGGAACAACAGCAGCAGCGGCAGCGGCAGCAGCAGAGAGCAACAAGAACGGTTGTGGCGAAAGGTGGTCGACACTAGTGATACCCTTGCAGATTGATCGGTTCCCATTAGAGACTTTCTGCCTATGAAAAAATAAAAGTTTCATTATGGGATTATTCAAGGTAGATATGTACCTATATCATATGGTGGATTAATAATAGTTAACTTATTTAAGAGCTGTTAAAACTGGCGCTGGTCTTATTGCTATCATTGCTTCGTTCACTGAGTTGCAAACATTCAATAAAATCATAACGCTCTCTCTCTCTCTCTTTTGCAGGGTATCATAATAATGCAGTGCAGCAAGGAGAGAAAACGAAGAAGAGAAAAGCAGCGCTGCTTTAACGCTGCCGCTGCTGCTGCTTCTGCTGCTTCCTTTGCGTTCGTCGTGTATAAAAATTTAACATCTGCTCCTTTCATGATTTCGGAAAACTCAAAACTCGTACAAGAGCGACAGCCAGGCAGCAACAACTGCAAGAGCGAGGGCTGTAATGGCACAAATATAAATATGTGAGTGTATTAGTCTCTCTCTCTCTCTCTCCCTGTCCGTCTTATGCGTCCTTCATTCCCTTCTCTTTCCTGCTGCTGGCTGTTAATGCATTTGGCTTGCTTTACTCTCGTATTACGTGCATTTGCTGTTCCACAGAGATCCAAAAATGGGGCGGGGATATGGGGACATGGGGATGTGGCGGAGGAGAGATGCCAACTCTGGTCGCTGATGCTGCTGCTGGATTCATGCCATGGAGAGCTCTCTGTCCCGAGTTTGGAAGCTGCCAACTGGCAGATCTTATGCAGAATATAATAAATTAAAATAAGTAGAGGAAGCAGAGGAAGCAGAAGAAGAAGGAGAGACAGGATAGTGATAGTCCTTTGGCTGTTCCTGTTGGTGCATTCAACTTCAACGCGAGAATTTCACTCTTTCATGGCATTTTGCCCTTGCGGTAAAGTGTTGTTCTGCCTTTGAATCTCACAGAGATACATAGCTGCAGAGAGGAGGAGTACATTAGCTTGATCAGACAGTTTGGATACCTTTAGGGGAATATCCCTACTTGCAGAATATGTTTCAATGATCAGAAATGAGCGTGTAAAGGATCTTCTATAGATGCTGAACATAATAATACTCGCACAATAGGAAAATCTAGACAAATTTAACCATTTTTGTAGAATTTACATTCAAATGTGTGACCAATTAGATCGGGTAGCAGTTCTAGCACCTCAACAGATCCCTATCCAATCCTTTCGTAGCTAATAACGATAAGAGCCTTTGTGTCAAATACCCTCGGCTACGCTTATTGCATGTCTTTCTGCCATACAATTCTACAGATAGTGCTCTGCCTCTGCCGTCGTTTCAGTGTCTCTCCTATGGCCATCTTCTTGCACAATTCCCGAACTCAAACACTCTGAAGTGCATCAACAATTCGGTTTCCTTTAAATATGCTTTGTTAACTCATTTTATTATTATATTTTTTATCTTATTTTTTTTGTTTTGTGCGCATTTCTTTCATTTTTCAAATACGTGAACTGCAGCGCAACTGTCAGATACATTTCTGGTTTCCTTTGTATGTATGGCGGCTGCATGCAATGTGAATGTCCTTTGCTGTCCGCACAAAGGACACGCAGACACACGCAGTAATTGAGAATGAGAGAGGAAAAATATATAGTGCAAAATGGTGCAGAACGTTCTCTATGTTCCAACGACTAAATCTATAACTTTGGAATCCTATCTGTAGGGCTCTTCAACTTGCAATAAAGTTCTCAAATCAACGGGCCAAATGGCCGGCTGCATCTTTGTTTGTGCAGATGTTCCGCTGGCAGCGTCTTATGTCGCACATTCTTTTCCCCTCTTCCCAGGCCCACCCTCTGGGGTTTATCTGTATCTTTGTATCTCTGCTTGTGCCTCGTGGGATTTTTCGTGCATGGCGTATGGGACAGGTCAGTGTTCCCTGTCTAAGGGTTGGGATATGGATATGGATGGCAGCCTGCATCGTATTCCATTACGCAATGCAAATAGGCGACGCTCAGACATTTAGCGGCCTGTCAGCGCCAGGACAATGCAACTGTCAAGGTTTCCAACGCTATTTCGCTGCTGCCACATTTCCGCATCCACGTGCAACGGGCATCAAAAGGCCCCATATCCCTCCTTCCCACCAACCAACAAAAAAACTGGGCTCCCGAGCAGAGTCCTGGGCAGTGCCACGGCTCGGATTGAGTTGAGTGAACAGGGCACAAAGCTCCACTAATAGTTGGCATGAAACGAGGTTGAAAATGGCGCAAAAAGAACCACAGCAAAAAAAGTGAAATGAAATCAACTGACATATAGAGCCAGCCAGCAGCAACAGAGCTCCCCATGCCGCATGCACCATGCCCCCATGCCCCATGCCCGACTTTGCCTCTCAACTCTTTACAAACAAAACCGAAGGAGAAAGAGAACACGAGCATGGCAGGATAGCTTAAGGGGTGCCATGGGTATATACCCTATCAGTGCCATCCAACTATTTCTATGGTGACTAAAAGATATGGAAAGTGATCCCAATATGTCAAAGATTGCCTACTATAAAACGACAGCTTATGGGAACTTGATTTGAATCATATCAATCATTTGATTGGTTGGGTATAGCTCTTTTTGATAAGCTGCAATCAAAGTAGGATCTGTGAAACATTCTCTCAGAGACAGACGGCCATGTGTTTTCGTCCTATAATTCCGATCATATGTCGTATATCCCTTCTCCCCATCATCATACCCTCTATGTCATACAGGGTATACAAAGACAGAAGGGGGGTTGGCAAAAAAAACAACATAGAAGGCAAATTGTACCAAAATCCAGCAACAGCAGCAGCAGCAGCAGCCAGTGCATCGCCAGGATATGGCACACACACACACAGCAAAAAGTACACACACATACATGCACACAAGGTCCTGCGTCCAGCTACAACTAAATAACGGTGCTGCCCCACACATACACATCCACCAACACATGTACATTGATTGCAAGTTCGTATTGTGCGCGCGAAACTAGGGAAAAAATTTTTAATTGGAACAACAACTGTGCAGCAGCAACAACAACAAAAGCGTACTTCAAATCTGTGTGTGTGTGGGTGATAATGAAAGAGAGAGAGATGCAGCTGTGTGCGGACAGGACCATCGAACCGATACACGCAACTCGAACTCAAACTCACACTTAAAGCGCAAAAATGAGTAAAAACGCTCTCTTTTCGGGGCCATGGCAAGGTACGAACAGCAAGGAAACACGGCCCCAGCAACATTTGAAGGTTCTACGCACCTCACCCTACCGTGTTTGATCAACAATATGCTTTGATATGTTGGAAATTGGGGTGGATTTTGCGTTGCATTGCGTCGTATTTGTTGTGCCGTTTTGCCCGTTCTCCACACCTTTCCATAGCCATGCCGGCAACATGATTTCCAGCCACATGTGGCCGCGCAACATTTTCAATTTCCGAGCAACTTTTGAGGGCGGGCATATTTGAATTGAACGTCCTTGCGCCACGAACGTGATTAAACATGTTCGACTAAACGGCCTTCACCATTCGAGCAGCGCGGGTTGCGTGTCCTTTGAAAAGTTTCCTAAAACACGCGCGGAACTTTTGCACCGCCGCCGGCGCTGTTTTTAAGCGCTAATAAATAATAAAAATAAACGAGTGCGAGTGCGTTTAGTTGTTTAGTGTTTAGTTTCTGTCCCCCCCGCCCAACACCAAAAATACAAAACAAAAGTGAAATATTAATGGATCTGGTGGATGTGATCACGCGCTTAAGGACTCTTCCCCCCTGGAATAACTTGTCCCAGTTTTAAGATCTTTTTATCGCTTGAATGTGACCAGTGCAAGCAACAAAAATAAACAACAACAACAAGGATCCCTATTCAAATCCCTGTTCCCTGCATCTTTGCTTTCTTTTGCGTTACTTTCGTTTGTCGCGTTACTTTTCCCCCGTTACTTTCGTTTTCGTGCGCGTCTTACTGCCGCGGCGGCTTTTCTAATGCATCAGCGGGAAACTGCACTGGATTTCCAATAGCTGCGATTACTGCATACTCCAGCCACCTTTTTTCTATAGGACACAAACGAAAATGGATTAAAACAACGGTTTGTACACAGCATCCATCCTCTTTATGTATACGTATGTATACCCTACTCGTATTTCAATGGGAATTACTTAGAGTGATCCTGCCAGGGGTTGACTGGATGTGAAAAGTGTGTGAAAAAAAAGAAGTGTTAAAGGTGGCATTATATTTGATGAATAATCTAAGGAATAGGTGCAAATGAAATCTCTATTTAAAAAGTGTCCAAATAATACACAAAATCCCCCCAGATAATCACTAAACACACAGGAAATAGATTTCGCCCCGTCGAAAAAGCAACACGTAATCCACTGAGATAACGCACATTTGTTGCTACAGCTTTCATTTGTTATTGCTCATCCGAGGATCAAATTACAATAATAGCATTTGCGGCATGGGGGGCACCCTCCGGAGGCACTTGCTTCAATCAAAAATCCACCTAAATAGCCGACTTCCAGTGGCTTTACGGGCCATTCGGTGGAGTCGTTTCTAAAAAGCAAACTGCAAGCAAAACAAACAATAAAAGGGCCAGCAAAAATAATATAATAATAAAGTTTGGGGCAATGAGTAATGACAAACACACACCCATTCACCCATACAGACACACAAAAGATGAGGCCGAACAGAACACTGTTGCTGCCATCTGTATCTGTATCTGTGGCAGTGGCAGCATCAGCTCAAACTTAAATTAAAAAGCAGTCCCCCGACTCCGAGTCCGACTCCGAATTTGAAGAGTTGAGTGAGGCCTTTGCGTTGTTGAGTTATGCCATTCCCAGGGCCCCCGAAAAACGTGCCGCGAACGTGAAGGCAACAAATAAAAAACAGAAAAGAAAAGAACAGAACACACACACAAAGATACACAGATATACGGGCTGCAAAGATACAGATACTCGCGGAGCCTAACAGTAACGTGCGTACTGCCTCTGGCTCAGCCTCAGTCTCAGCCTCTGCCTCTGAAGTGCGGCTTCTTTTTGGCGCGCTCGAAACAGAAGCGCCAAAAAAAAAACACAAAAAAGAAACACAATACACCCAAAGAACGAGAGAAACAAAGAAGAAGAAGAAGGCATCAACAGAGAGCACAATAAAGAAGATGTCCAAAAGCGAAATGAAACGAAAGCGAAAAGCAAGTCGAAAAGCCACCCAGACCCCACCCCTTGGACAAAAAGAAGGCCCACGCCCAGAGTCCACTGGTGCGACTGCTGCTGCTGTTGGAATTTGAAGGCAAAAAGGCAAAGAGGAGCTTTGTGGACCGAAAGTTGAGATACTCTTGTGGAGCATTAAAATGAAAGATATATTCACAGTTGACTATCGCCTTTGGAGTATCTTTCTTATGGGACCTTCTCTATATATAGCCCATAAGATTATCCTCCTCTCTGTGTCACAAACAACTTTCCAAATTCTTCATGCCCAGCCTCTTCCAAAGGGCAAGACAAATAATAAAAGCAAACAAATTGCGGCAGAGCCCCAAGAAGTTCAAGTTCAACGACGAGCTAAAAGCTAAATGTATCTTGCAGATGCGGCTGGGCCGGAGTATACCAGTAGCTCGGTAGCTGGTCGCCGTGGCGGGGCGGGGCGGGGCGGGGGGCGCATCATCATGCAATTTGTCGGGCTCTGTGCCGCACATGTGCCGCCAACTGGCCGCGCGGCTGCTGCTGCTGCTGCAATTTTATGACTCCTTCTACTCTCTGGCGCAGCCATTGAAGATGATGCGATTACCCCCAATGAATTAGCAGATCCATTCTATATTTAGATGTATTTATAACACCCTCACACGCACGCACACACTCCACCAACACGAACGCACGCATACATACTCGGTGTGTCCCTACATTCTGTTTACATTTTTCTCACATTTTCTTTCATTCATAAAACACACGAAAATTGGAGGGAAAGTACGAATGGAAGGAAAGAAAAGCGCGCGAGCGCCGCTCACGGCACAGGTAAAAGGCATAAGGACACGCAGGCAAATTAAGGCTTTGACCTAGAGAAAAAAAAAAAAAATAAACAACAAGCAAAGGACACCCATCCACCCACTCACCCACTCTCACTCCTAGTGCCACTTTCCCTTCTCCTGTTAACACAGTAACGTGCGTGACTTTGAAAGCAAGAGAAGGGGCATGGGGCATGGGGCACGGGGCATGGAGCATGGGGCAGGAGGCATGAGGCAAATGACAAACTCGTAAATCTCAACACACACTCACACGGAAAGCGTAGGTTGTGGAACGGAGTGGCAGAGAGTGCTGTGGCATAAGTACTTGCCTCACATCCAGTAGGATGTGTAATACTCAGGCTCTGCTCCTTTGCATGGCTTCATTGTGCCGCCTAGCACGTTTCATTTCATCCACACACACACCTGCACACCCTGCCACACAGCCACACCCCCAGGCGGGGGCACAACTCAATTTACACGTGACATAAAGACAGCCAGAGAGAGGGCGCGAGGGCAGAGTGAAAAGGAGAACAAATTAACCCATGAGCGTGTGATATTTAACAAGATATTTTTAAGATAAATTTCCTTGGTTTTTGTTGTTGTTTCCTTTGGAAAAGTAATTCCATTTTAATTGGTTTTAGGGTTTGATCTTATTTCTGATGAAATATATAAATAATAAGAGAAAATATTTGAGAGAAATAATCAAAAAGAAATATTTCCAATTAACTATTAGTTTGCTAGTGGAAATAATAGATCTGCAGATTTATTTGGTCCCAAAAATACCTATTGAAAGTTACCTTTTGCTTATGGGCAATTTAATCAGCGGCGAATGTGGGCAGTTCTTGTGGTTGAACCTTGAAAAATCCCCTCCACATTATTGCCGTCAAGGTTATCAGGTGTCCTCTGAAAGGAATCCCTGTTGGATCAGCCACTGACCATGCCAAAGCAAACCCCTCCATTTCACAGAAATGCAATTTGCATGCTGCAATAAACTACAAATACAAGTACCTCGTAATTTCCCTGCTCATTAACCCGTTTTTGCAGGGTTTCCTTTTCCTGTCATGTTTTTGCACCCCCCCCCCTTACAGACACATACACACACACACACATACACCCTTCCATGCCACCCAAAACTCTGCAAAACTGAAATTTTATTCATTAAGTTTTGGCTGGCAGTGGATTTTGGCCAAACTGCAACATAATTATGCTGCAGATATAAATAGCACAGAGCAGCAGCAGTAGGAGGAGGATAGAATTTTAATAATATATTTTACAAAACAATCTCTTTTTTGGGAAACAATTCTCATATGAGAAACAAAAGTTGTAAACAAGCGCCGAAAATGTTCTCTGGATAACATATTAAAATTACATTTAAGCAGAAAACATGTTGCAAGCAGCTACTGCTGCACGGGGGCACTTCATTTGCACAAATGGGAATTGGAGAGAGAGAGAGAGATACAGGGAGCTAGCTAGAAGTTAGATTGGGGTAGAAAAGCAGCGAACATGCCACTGCCACACACTGTTGGGGGCTTGCACTTAATGTAGGGTATAGTGTTTGGAAAAGGGACTCTGAGATCACAGGAATTATTTGTTCTGGTTTTGGGACCTATTAAAAAATCCAAAAATGTTGCATTGCGAAGTATTTTCTTAAGAGATGAACAGAAAACAGAATAAGCTTTTCAACACAACTCTCAGCACTGTTTTATTGGGCTAAATCTGAAGCTTCGAAATACAATTTATCTTCAAGGGTATTTCACAGTCGCAACATTTCATCTGTGGATTCCTTTCGCTTCTTATGATTCCTCTCTGCCCGCAAACAAATATCAAGTCAAAACTATTGCTGCACAGGTACAACTCGTGACACTACAGAGTGGCATTTTCCATAGATGGCTGCAACTTCCTTCTGCTTCTGCTTTGCCTTCATCCTGCTGCATTGTCATGGCTGGCTTCACTTGCTCTTCTATGCTGCTGCTGCTGCTGCCACATGCAATGTCTGTGCCTGTGTGCAACCTAGTTATTCTTCCGCTCTCTCTCTTTAGATACAATATACCCGAAAATAAAACAGCCCTCAACCGTCACCTAGATTCTGCTGCCACATTCCCCCCGGACACACGCAAACTCCATTCCCGAGACTTTGTTTTCCAAATGACGCATTGTTCAGTCACATGTATCCCACATATGTATGTACGTATATCCGCCCAGTTTCTGACTCTCTGTCTGCCTTTATGTGTGTGCGTGTTTAATTTGCAAAAAAAAAAAAAAAAATATGGAAAAACATGGAATAAAAATGTTGCAAAAATGTGTGGCATTAAACGGCATTAAAGCAGCGGAGGAGCAGCAGCGGGGCAAACAAGAAATTGAAGTGAATTGCGATCATTGTTCCTGTACGCTGTTCGCTCTGTTTTATAAGCCTTAAGCAAACAGCACACAGAACAGTTGCGGCAGTTGCAAATAGAAATCATCCAAAATGTGTCTAACATTGAAATTTCCATGAAGTGTGCGGATCCCATGGCGATAAGATTACCCAAGAGATAAGAGCTTTTGGTAGACGATCCACAGATAAGACTTGGGCAGCTTTGGGCAGCTTTCAATTCGATCAACGATTTTGTACCAGGCAGGAAATCGATTGGGTAACACAATTTATATAATTTAGAGAGCGGAAATGCTTGAATCTGAGTGCAGGATTTGCTTTTGGCAGCTCGAATTGTGCCACGCCAATATGGTGCCACATGTTGCAAGATCTCTCTCTCTCTCTCTCTCACACACACGATTCCTCTTCTTTGGCCTAATTTTGAGCAAATCGCGAATGCGAATCTGGATCTTTATCGCGGCGGCTCTCGTCGTAACTCTCCTCCCGAGGGACAGAGTGTGGCAGAAGGGGCACAGAGTCGGTTACAGCTGCAACCCGACAGGATGGCCTCACTGCCTGTATGCCGCAGAAGTGGAAACGCGAAACGGAATCGCATAAAACGGAAAGTGCAGCAAATTGTGGCAGCTGCAACATTTCTGCAGGTTCTCTCCTTATTTTCTTGCCATTTTTTTTGTGTGTGTGTTTTTTTTCACTTCTCTTGGCCGTTGGCCTTTTACCGTTTTTATGGAAGGCAACAAAGAAGAAGTAGAAGCAGCAGCAGAAGAAGAAGACGACGATGATGAGGCAACTAATGTGGCAAAGAGTGTGGCAGCGGCGGATAAGAGCAGGGTACGAGGGTACGCGGTGGGCAAGGGCACAGCACAGCACAGCACAGAACAGCAATTGCAGCACGCAAATTGTAGTCGACAAAATAATCAGACTTTAATTGTCGTTCTGCAACAATGTGCATGGCAAACGGAGTGAAGAGGGAACGTGGACGCAGAAGGACAAGCAGCAACGACGTAAGCCACAAGGAAACGATGAGAAAAGTATAAAAAAAACGGAGAAAAAGCAACAGCAGCAGCAGGAGCAGGAGAACAAAGGGAGAATGAGAGTCAATTTTCAAAAGTTTGTCAACTGAAATCAGTCGAAAAAAGTTGCGAAATTTGAAAGTAAAAAAGTTGAGGGCGCAAAACGTTGGGGAGGAGATTTAGAGTTCGTTTATGGAGGGTTAGAAAAGTGGAGAAATTGTATTTTATAGCCAGGGAACTCTGACACGAAAAGACGTTGCTATTATAGAACCAAAAGAGCGACCAAAAACGAAGTTAATCGACAAAGATCAATTACTATAGTAAGAGATCTAAGATTATTATGACATTCATGGGATTGGGTTCACAGATTCCGTAATGCACAGCAAAGGACTTATTTTAATAGTTCCTTATAGGCAAAAATACCATTTACATATATTATACATAACCCACTTAAAAACAATTACCGAAGAGACTCATTTAGGATCGAGGATGCTTCCCGTGCAGCCTACTAATTGTTCCTGCAGTTCAGAATCATTCAATTTACGGATGCATCTTCTGTGGGAATTTAAACTCCTTCTAGTCACGCAAAATGTATCCGATGATGATCGTTGGGGCTAGTCAATGTCAAATTATCTCTCACTTCAACACCTCCAACGAAACGAGCACATATGCAATGATAGTGTACGTATCTGCGTGTGTGCGTGTGTGTGTGTGTTCCGGACACATCCCTCTGCCTCTGTGGCAATGTCAGCTTGGGGCAACATCATCACGATGCCATGCCGTGAGCCCAATGAACTTTCTGAAGCGCAACGAAACGTTCTGAAGCGCTGGCCAAATGCAAAAAGCCAAAAGGACGCGAACGCGGCACACAGCAACAAAAAAAAGGTACACCTGTGCCTCCGAACCAACAAAAATAATAAAACAACAAAATAAATAAAGAAAAAAAAGGAAAAATGGCGAAAAAAAAAATACAAGGCAAGAAAATGACAACGGGCGTTGAAGGGGCAACTGAAATACGCTAAAGTATATGTGTATCGGTGTGTTTGTATTTTGCGAGTGTGTATGCATGTATCGGTGTGTGTGTGTGTGAGGCTTTACAAAAGCCAAAGAAACTTGGCAGCAGCATAACTTACAAGCCAAAAGCAGCAGCAAAAGCAAAAGCAATAAAAAAACCCAGAAGTGAGTGTCCTTTAGCTTCATTTTTTTATGGGAACTTTGTGTTGTTTTTTTTTTTGTTGCCGCCGCTTCCTGCCTCGCACTGGCACTGGCACTGGGCCTGAGACTCTTCTTGGGTCTTGGCCAACGCCGCTCATTATACAGTCAAAGACCATAATTATGTGTTGAAGCGTTGTAGCTGTTTAAAAGCGAGAAAGAGAGAGTGAGAGAAGAGCACAGCAAAAAGATGGCAGAGCCAAAGTATAAGATACTTTTCAGCAAGGATATGCCAGAACCTTAGCTTTAGTTTGCATTTTCTTTACAGATTTCTCGGGTTGTGGCTGTTCTTTAAACTGTGAGAAAGTGTTTAAGATTTTTGTAATTGCCCGCCTTTCATTTAATAATTTATTCCATTGGAAATAATGTATCTGCATCACAACTAACACAATGCTATTTTTTTCTTCCATCTACTTTCAGCTTCCAATCAAAGGATTTGAGGATACAACAACAAAAACATCAATTATATTCTGGCAAAATTTTGGGGAAAAATTTTTCCCGTTTTGGCTAACAATCAAAATTACAAAAAAAAATAGAAAACAACTTGGAAACCAAAAAAATAAAATGAATTAAAAATCATAGAAAATAATTGACAAAATATCTAATATTCTAAGAATTAAGGCCAACAACAACAACCCGCTAATGTTTATGTAATTCTTAAGAATCCAGAACCCAAAACAAACAAACAAACGGAAGACAAAGATTTTTAAGCCTACGAATTAAGTACAATCTACATTAAAAGATATTTAATATAATGCAAAAAACTTCACTTAACAAAAATCTGCAACTATTTTTATAATCAACAACAAAAAACAACAAAAAGTAAAACGAAGGAAGAAAAACCAACAAAACAAACATAGTACAAAGGATTCATCAATTTTACAAAAAGCAACAACAACAAATATCAAAACAAGAGCAACACTTAATCAATAACAAAAAAAAAATCTATAAATATATATCTTAAAAATACCAACAAAAAGAAAAACAACAACAACAACGCATACAACAAAAATACAAATTTTACACATTACAAATTTACAAATTTTTTAAAAACAACAAAGTCGAAAGTCTGCTACAAATTTTAAATATATTAAAGGTATAGAAACCAAACTTTTTGCATATAGCTGCCGTTTTACAACAACAACAACAAGAATAAAAGTACAAAACAACAACAACAACAAATATTTGAAATATTCAATACAAATTTTTAAATAAAAAAGCACTTTACACAACTTAACAAAAAAAAAAGGTAACCTACAAATAAAATAAAACACGCATAAAACCAGTAAAGTTCAAACAAATAAAAATAAAACGAAATACAAATCTTGGAGTAGCTTCAAACTTCTATATATAGAAAATAAATACAACAAATTAATAAATATTTAATCACAAGTGTTTTACACTAGCCAACAAAAGCAAACACACACACACAAAAAGTTGATAGAGGAGAGGAGCCATACCAAGCCATACAAACAAAAACAAAGCATAGAATTTTTGGATTGATTTACTACCTCAAGAAAAAAAACACTGAACAGAAATAAGCCCGATAAAGTGAACAGGAAAAGTGTACAAAAAAACGAAAATCTATATACAAAATTTAATATTATATAATTAAATAATAAAATTCGCATAAAAGAATCATAGAAATCTGAAAGACTCTGAAATCTGAAATCAAGGACATTTAAAGCAAGTAAAAATCACAAACAATCAATAAATCCACCAAAATCACCGAAATCACCAGGCACTAAAATCTGTTGCAAGGCCATTCCACCACCAAACCCCCATCACCCCCCGCACGCAGTGAATCATAACTGCGTAGCCATGCCACAGTCCGTGCTTAAATGGCGTCTTCAATATTAGCCCAAAGCCAGAGCACAGGAGGCGGTAACGTCGACAGCAGCAACAGCAGCAGCATTGTCCATCCTACTGTGGCAGGGGCAACATCTGTGGCAGCAGCCGTGTCCGGATTGCACAATACACACTTGAATCAGCTGAGCAGCCTCAGTCAGCACTATACAGCGCCATACCATCATCATTACCACGCACAGCAGCAGCAGCACCAACACCAGCAGCAGCAGCAGCAGCACTACCAGCAACAGCAGCAGCAACAGCAGCAACATTGGGAGTACTATGAGAGGCAGCAGCAACAGACAGCGGCCGCCACAAGCTCCAACAATCAGCAGACAAGCAACGGGAACAACAACGAGACAACGGTTCCTGCGCCTTTGGGCAGCAGCAGCAACAACAACAACGGTAGCAGCAGCGGCAACGGTCATGCTAGTGCTGCCAATGGCCATGACCATGCCCATTCTGGTGGGCACAATGATGCCAATTCTAATGCCATTTCCGCCGCCACCACCGGAGGAGGAGTAGGTGGCACCAGCACCAACGCCAACACAAACGCCAACTCAAACTCCAATTCGAATTCCAACGGAAGCTATACACGTCCGTGGGAAATGGAGTCCAAGGATAGCGGACAACAGACGCAATCCCAAAACCAAAACCCAAACCCAAACCAAACCCAGAGCCAAACGCATCTCCAGCAGCAACAGCAGCAGCAGCTGCCATTGAAGAGCGGCTTCGAGCCATTTTCCAAGCTGCCATCGTTCCAGAGTCAGTTTCATGGGTTCAATGATCAGCTGATGCCGGATGGGACTCCCATGCCCATCCCTATGGCAGCAGCAGCAGCAGCAGCGGCAGCGGCCGCTGCAGCAGCCGCAGGAGGAGGAGGAGGAGCGGGTGGAGCACCACCGATGAGCTCCCTCCAAACGGTGGCCATGTCGCCGGCCAGCATCTCTGTGAGTTCTCCGGGAATGATGAGCGTGGGATCGCCACTAACGGCCCAGCTGCCGGGCTCCATGCAGACGAGCATTACGCCGCCATCGGGTGGGTCCAGTTTTCCGGCTCCACCGCCGCCGAATGCCTTCCATCATCATGCCCTGAATCCGCACCATCATCGTGGGGCCGGTGGATATCCCCTGGTGCCGGCTCCAGCGGCTGCCTACGCGGATCTCCAGCTATACACGGGATTTGCACCGCTAATCAAGAAGGAGCCGGGGGGAGGCAGCACCGATTTCGATATGCTGATAAAGAAGGAGGACTTTGATCTCAGCAACAGTGGTGGTGGCAACAGCCTCAGCCACTTGCCGCATCCGCATCCACATTCGCTCCAGCATCCGCATGCACATCCGCATGGTCATCCGCTGGTGAAGAAGGAGCCGGCCACCGATTTCGAGATGATGCTGAAGAAGGAATCCTTTGATCTCGGCAATAGCCATGGCCATGGCCACGGCCACCTGCCGCATCCGCATCCACATACACATCCGCTCCAGCATCCGCATTCGCATGGACATGGTGTCACGCCCATGGGCATGCATACGCCCACGTCGTACGATGGCAACAATAGCAACAGCTATCCACATGCCACCACCACAGGATCGAGCAGCACCGGGAGCCACACACCCCACACGACACAGCCGCACACGCCCACGCCCTCGCACACGCCCATGCCTACGACAACCACGCCCATCAAGGTGGAGAAGCTGCTGCAGTCGCCGATAGCACGGCTGGAGGCGCGAAAGAAGGAGCGGCGGAAACAGCGGCCCAATTCGCTCGAGTCCAGCGCCGAGAGTGAGGCCAGCGGCATGGACGTGGACCCCAGCAATCCTGGCCAAGTGGACGCCGTCTCCAGCACGGCCAATTTCAAGAGTCCGCTGAGCGCCCTCGGTATGGGCGACAGCAACGATGGCAATGCCCATGGATGCGATAAACAGGTAAGATCCCATGTCATGGGACATCAATCAGTGAAGAGGGGACTGGCACACGCTGCGATTAACAGGATTATGGTCATCGCCACCACCACCATTGCCTCCACCACCACCCACATCCGCAAACCCAACCACTTGTCTCACCTGCCCCCGTCACCGTCACTGCCACTGCCATGATCCACCCACCACCCACCAATACCAATACCGATACCAACACCAACCACTCCACAACCAACGACAACAACTCCTCTTCCTGCTCTCTCTTTCAGTCAAAGAAGAAGCGCAAGCGCTGCGGCGAATGCGTTGGTTGCCAACGCAAGGACAATTGCGGGGAGTGCGCCCCCTGCCGGAACGACAAGAGCCATCAGATCTGCAAGCAGCGACGCTGTGAAAAGCTCACCGAGAAGAAGGTAAGTCCCGTCTCCCGTCTCTCCATTTCCCCTCTCTCCCAAAAGCTCTATCTCCATCGATTCATTCAGAGCGAGACCAGAGTTACTCAATGAAATTAACGGGAGAACAATGGGCTCAGATTGAAAGTGAAGTAAAGAAACTTGCAGATTGAGTATACCGCTATAATAAAGAGGGAGACTCAATCACAATTCCACAAATCACAGTTAAATAGGACTTATATCCATATAATCTCAGCAAATTCCAAATAAGATAATTTCATTGATTTAAAAGTCTATCGTAATGTTGTCACTGCACACCCACTGTACTGTACCTGGATGGGCAGCTGGGAACCGGCTGAAACCGGTTTGCAAAAACAGACCGAGAGAGAGCAGAGCCTGCGGACATGCTGAGAGTTCGCGGTCTTTCGCACCAGCGGTCAGTCACTCAAGATTTATGTCAGCCCAACAGATGTTCCTTGGTTCCAAGTGCAAATTAAGCAACCTCTCTCTCCCGCCTCTCTCACTGTCATTCCATATTCAGCTGCCTCAATTTTACTAGTAACCTACAAGCGGGAATCTCTCAGAGAGCAAATGCGTGTGTGTATGCGTGCGTGTGTGTGCTTAAGTACTTGCGACGACGAGGTGCACTTGAGTGGATGGTGCAGTCTGGCGTTGGGTTCGTTTTGAAATCACTTAAGATTCCCAGCCGCGGGCTGAGCGTGTCCTTTGAGTGGTCGGAAATCAGGTTACACATGTGTGTGTGTGTGTGTGCGTGCTCCCCGGGGAGCTGAACGCAACTGGATGTCGTCACTCGATTGCGCATCTACGGATCTCAAGTGGGTTTTGGGGTCCCTTAAGTGAGGACAAGTTCAATGGCCCAAGGATCGCTTCGAAGTTTCAGAGGATCACATTGAGAGATGGATCAATTAACAACAGTATGTGGAACATAATGGAGCTGCAAGAGAGACGCACATTTCCCTGGGAATACACGCATGGACAGTTGCAAAATCTATTCCACAGCGTGGAAGGAGGAACATTTCCAATATTTACAGACGCTTCCATATTGCGGCGTTTTCTTTTCCATACAAATACAAATGCAAAAGCAAATACAGGCGTCCGTGCAGTAGAAGCAGCAAAAACAATAAAAACGATATAACGAAACGCAGCAACGAAAACAACAATAAAAGGAAAGCAAACGTCGAGTCGAGTCGAGGAGCAGATGTTCACAAGTTACAAAACGCGGCTTTTGATACTACAACAACAACAACAACAACAACAACAACAGCAGCAATAGCAAGAGCAGCAGGCAGACCGACAGAGATAAATAAATAGCGCTGCCACGATCAGCGCCGGCAGCGACAGCAGCAGCAGCAGCAGCAGCAGCGCGGACTACAAACAGGAAACCAACGAAAGGAGAGTGAGGGAGATGGCGCGAGCAGGCTGCTCACACAATTAAGCCAGACAGGATAGCGAGAGCGAGTGAGTGCGGGCGCTGTGCGGAATTATGGTGTATTAAGTGGATGGTAGGTAAAGCTGTCTCGTTTTCTGGTTAGCCTAGTCCACTTTCTGGCACAAACTCCTCACCTTATATACCTAATATACCTTGTGCAAAAGGTTTTTGTTACAAGAGCCTCTCCCGCTCTCACGCTCCCACCGTTCGGTCTCAGCTGTCTCTTCCATTGACGACACACATAGATAAAGTTGTAAATTTTGCAGTTTTACAACAGCAAAGACAACGGCGGCAGAGGCAGAGCCAGTGACGGCGACAGCAACAGCAACAGTTGACATGTCAATACACGTCACGAAGATTACGCGCAGAGATAGCAGCAGCGGCTGCGACAATTTGGTGTCTTCTTCTGTCTCCTACTGTGCTCCTCAGCGCTTCTTCTTGCTCTTCCTGACGCGCGCTGCTTGGACAATTGACGCTTTATTTTATATCTTCCTTTGCTTTATCATCGCCATCCGCATCATCATTATCAGCGTTTTCATTGTCCCGCTTTCAGATGCCTCTTTCGCAGGCACCCGTAGCTAGCTACTGTCATACACTGTGCTACATGATTTGTGTTTTTGAACTTGCAGAATTCCGATTTAACGAAAGATTGGAATATATTGTAGTCACAGTGAAAGCCTTTGCAGGTTAAGCAAATCCCTAAAAGTCCCCCATCCTATGCTGACCAGTGTAGTCTGAAATTACTCATGTACTCTCACATATTTATGCATGTGTCCATGGACTTTATAATGACAATGTTCTTTTTGTTCCTCCTCTGCCACCACGGCTTTGTCCTCTGCACAGCTGGTGACGTCCGTCCGGTCCGTCCAGGCCGGTTCGTTCTGGTCCTGTTCTCCCTCTGTCTCCCTCTCTAGCGCGATAAATTTCGTACGTGAATTATTTCATTTCTTATTTTTACGAATCGAATGCGGATCAATGCACTTTCTGGATGAATTTCTGCGGTATTTTCGCGATACTCTTCCCCTACTCTTTCTACCATATCGCTGTGTTCCTTCGTCTTGTTCGTAATTTAAGATGAGCTCTGGTCTCTCCTTCCTTTTCTGGCTATATTTTTTCTTTCCTTTTTTGTAATATTTTGTACTTTCACAAATCAGCTGAAAAGGCCCTCCGGCGCAAGTCATTAACTTGGCTATTTGAATTGCGTGATGAAGCGGTCTCCCTACCATGACGCTCCCACACTTTCCTACCCCACTCCCACTGGACAGGCCTATCTAAGAGAATATATATCCTGTGTTTTGTTGATTTTCTTTTTTCTGTGGGTTTCGTCCGTTGGCTTTCTTTAAATATGCAGTTTTTCTTAGGAATTTTCTCATTAAAATTTGTACATGTTTTTTTTCTCGACATTTTCGTTTCGTTTTTCTTTTTGCAAATAAAAGAAAAAAAAAGGAGGAGAAAATATTGAAAGTGTCAGGGAGTGAAGGAAAAGTTGGGGAAAAAGACAAAAAGGAATCAACCCCGAAAGTCCATTCGGTGTTGGAGTACCCGGACGAGGGGTTTGAGTGATTGACTTCATTGGGTTCGGATCCATGCCATTCCTGTCCTGTCCTGTCTCTCTTTGTACGATGTGCGACGGATGTCCAAGGATGCTACTTTTCTGTTTTCCCCTTATTAAATCTCTCTCTTGCTCCTTCTCTAGCTGTTTTTTGGCTCCTTTTACTCATTTTCGTGCTGTTATTTTTCAATTCACGTTTCGCTGCAACTCCATTCAGGACAAAGCCACTGTGAAAGTCACTAAAAACGTGCATGATGAGTGGGGTTGGGTGGGGAGAGGTTGCACCCTTGGCCATAGGAACTTAAAGGTTTTCCCTTCCTGCATAAAAATAAACAACAACAAAATTCTCTGCTACTGGCTCTGGCACATGCATATGAGCATGAGCATGAAAGTGCTCCCATGCACAAATACATCCGTGTATCCTTAGTCCCTGCCATTGGGCCACAGTGAGTGCAATGCTCCTACTTGAAGATATACACCCTGCCCTCTCCAGGTCCTCTCTTCATGACACACACTCTTGAGAGGAATGCCATACCAACACACACTCTTAAAGGACTGCCATGTCATGCCAGGCCAGAGGTAGAGCTCACACACGGTTTTTGGCACGTTGGCAGCTCGAACAGAAAAAAAAAAGAAAAAAGAAACAGGATAATGCATGCACACACATGCACATGCACATGGACATGGACATGCACATGGCCTGATACTTGAGCCCCCAGGATGATGATAATGCTCCTGATGAGCTTCATTATGAGCATGTGGATGTGCATGTGCAATATGATACTTGGACGATGGTCGTGTGCTCCTAGCGATCCAGATATCCAGTTGCAGTTTCAACTCCTCTTTCACCCCCCTCTTTCTATCTCTCACATTCCCTTTCTTCCACTCACTTTATCTCCCTCTCTCTTTCTCTCTCTCTCTCTCTCTCTATCTATGTATCTGTATATCTGTTATTCTTTTGCCAAAAATACATACTCAATTGTTGAACCAAAAATGTTTTGTACTTTCGGTTAATTGTCGCTTATGGCCAGGCACACGACCGACTCTCCTCCATGTCTGCTTCTACCACCCTCTCCTCTCTCTCTCTCTCTCTCTCATCATTCCTCTCTTCTTTGCTCCCTTCATGGCCTTCAATCATTCATTCAATATGTGCGTTTGTCATTCGATAAGTCCCAAAAGATGCTGCCAGGCATGCCTGCCTCAGCCTCTGCCTCTGGTTCTGCTTCTGTCTTCTACTCTGAATCGGAGTATTTCAAATGCGAGTTCAATGCTCTGTTCTGTGTGGCATACAAAAACTTTTGTCCTGGCCACAAAATCCGATTGAGAATTTCTCAGTTTCCGTTGTTTTATTTCCTCTATGGAACATCTGCAGCAGTTGTCTCTCTCTCTGCACATCTGTTCGGATTTTCAGGGCCGCCCGTCTGTTCCTCTGGGCTCCTAAGCCAGCTCTAACACCGAAACCTAAGCCGAATGCATGCATGCCACTCCATGCACATGCACACACTCTATAAGAATGGATGGATGGATGGATGGACAGACAGATCCAACTAGAATTGATGAATAACCAGGACTTTGTCTGTATATTTTGTTCTCTATATTATTTTAAGCCGCTTAGCATTTACATTCAAGGCATATTAATACCAAACTTTAAAAACCATCAAAATCATAAATTTACATTGTTTTTTGTTCTCCCCTTTAATGGAATTCTCATTGCTGTTTATTATTTTGGCTTCGCAAATTGCCGCCGCCATGACAGCCAATTAGTGGGTTTATTTTGTGTTTTTTTTTTATAGCGCCTGACATTCGTGTTGTGCATACATACATATTTACATACAAACTCGTATATGGAATGGTTTTATTTTCCATACATATTATTCCTCCCCTCTTCATTGAGTGACTGTCCCGCTCTCACAGCCTTTTCCTGCACAGATTTATTTCATTTGTAATTATTGCTAATTATTTTCTGCATTAATTATATATAATTAATTTATTTTTCATTTTTCTATCTTTTTTTTTCTTTTATTGCAGGAACCCAAAGCCAAAACCGTATGTATTCATTTTTGTATTTATTCCATATTTTCCCCCCATGAACATTTTTAATTATTAATTAATAAATTTTATTATTTAAGAACATTTAATCCACACAACAAAAAATTACATTGACAATGTATGTATTGTATTTTTTTTAAGCTCCCTTTTCTAGCAGAACGTTTCATCATCTATGAAAAGTTGTTTTCCATTGCAATTTCTCACTGTTTGAGCAGTTTTCTATGAAAAAATCAATACGATTTTTCCTCTTAATTGCTGGCTTTTTTCTGTATCCGAATTTCCATTGTTTTAATTGAATATTTGCTTCGTTTTGCCCAGTATTTGTTTAAGCTTTTAATCCTTAAATTCATTTCGAATGTTCCATTTGCTGGCAAAACTACGGAATCCATTAAGAAATCAGAATTATGTTTACATCGAAGAATCCCTGGAAACATCAGATTTAGAAAGTTAATTTTATTGGCCTAAAAAATGGTTTTCTTTAGCTGTTTTAAATTATTATTTTCTCTTTAATTCCATCTTTGATTCATTCTTGCTTCTACATAAACATTAGAGATTCTCGAATGTTATTCTGGTTATGTTTTGGATGTTTGTCTTGCACAATTCCCATTGTTTAGATTTGCCGATACAAATGTATTTTTTCATCTATGGACTGACGGTACTGATGGGTTGGCTGTGTGTTATGTGGTAGTTTTTTTGTTTTTGGTCTCTTTTTTTTACCAGCACAATTTTGCTGTGGTTGTGTTGTTGTCTCCTCGCATAAATTAAATAATAAAATACTCGTGTGTGCGCTTGTTTCTATGTATGCATCTGTATGTTTGTAGCGTTGTGTGTGTCTGCGCAATTGAATGCTTTGTGGAACTGATTTGTAGCTGCTGCTCATGTGGATGATGATAGAATGGTTGCTGCTGCTACTTTTTGTGGTGGTGGTTCTTGCGTGCTGCTCTTCTGTCTACATTTATATAAATCTGCGCTGATCATAAAGCGTTGTTAAATGTTTAATAAATAAATGTTCACATCCTTGTTAAGTTTAGACAGCGCTAAGAGCGCAACATTTGCATTGATTGCACTGGAAGAACGAAAAAAAAACACGCACACACAGCAGAACAGAGAGAACACAGAGAACACAGAGAAAATGTCATTCAAGTTGAATGCAAATTAATGTTATGTAATTACGCACGGGGGCAACGTAGACAACCGCTGCGTATACTTGATGGCAAATTGCATGGCAGGTAGTAGAAGGCCAAGGAAAAGCTTCTTGCAAAGAATCAAGAAGCAGGTGGGGTTCCTTCTTAATTGTTAAAGGACAAAAGTACCGCAGTGCTGGGGTGCGAATTACTTGAAAAATCTACTCTAACTTAGGGGAATTGTGATTTTCTTTCGAGCTTTGCACAGGCCGAAAATTAAGAAACTTCCTTAAATCCCAAAGAAATAATATTTCTTTGCAAGAGTATTTTCGGACTTCGCTCTCACATTTTTATTCCACTGCTTCTTGCAATAATGACTGCAAAATCTTTTCCCCACTTTCTTTTAATGAGACACAAAAATCCTTCATCTAATGATGCCCCAGGCTGTTGAAGCGTCAAGGGTAAGCATGTTGGGGGTTGGGGAGTGAAGGGCGTGACCAGGTGCAATCGCAGCAATTAAGCAATTTGTTGTTGCTATTGTTTATTAATAAACAAACAACAAAAGAGGCAACCAGAGCCCGCACGTAATTGCCACAGCAACAACAACTACAACAACCTTTACTCTCCAGAAAGATAGACAGAACTCAAATAGATCAAGGATATACATATGTATATATGTACATAGGTATCATGTGCATATGTATGCTGTATATATATGCATTTCGTGGAACCCTAGAACCCCATGGAACCCTGTGTTTTATTTTGCTTACTCTATTTTTACACAGATCCAGCGATGCATAGCACCAGAAAAAAAGGGGTTAAGACCTACCGGCGACGGCAGCGTCGACTGTGTCTCTGTTGCACCCTCTGGTTGCTGGTGGCATGCGTGCAAGGTGCAATTGCAGCACAGTTTTCAGCTTGACCGACTCCTCTGTCGGACAGCGGACCCTTTTTACAGGTTATATTCCTACACTACGCCCCGAACTAAGTAGATTCGCACCCCAAGCAAAACTCGCACAGAAAAGTTAGGGGGAAAACGAAATAGAGCCACCGGGAGAGTTGGAGGAAACGGTTGTCATTTAGTCCAGTTTTTCGAGGGGTTAAATGTAGCCAGCAGATACATAGAATACAGATACACACAGAGGGCTTAGAGGGTCAGCAGGTTACAAAACTAACTAATTGCTGAAGGCCTTTGCGCTGCAGAACGTCAGCCAAAATGGGACACTAGACTGAAAGGGGGGGACCTATGTACTTAGAATACGTTTCGTAAATGTAAAGGGCTGCAGCAAATGCTTGGACCTTTAAATGATTGATTGTCCTGCTTATGGTTATGGAATTTATAATTTGGAAGATTGAATAAAGGCTTCGAATGGGAAAATCCACTCGATACCGAATATCGGTTAGGATTTGTACAGAGTAGTAATTGGCCTTCAGGACTTGCAAAACTCTTAATTAGATTCGAACTTTTCAAAGAATTTTGTAGATCTGCAAATTAACCCACTTTTCTCCTGCCAGAAAAAATATTTGGTTTGGATTTCCCATTTCCTTTGCACTTCTTCGCTTCCTGTATCTCTGATTTTAGCCTCTTTTTTCCGGACAAAATCCGTTTAAGTCTGAAAATATAAGAACAAGTACAATATCCCAATGCCTTTTCCCAGTGAAAGTTTCCTGCTTACAAAGTGCCTGCCTATCAGAGGAAAAAAAACGGCAACAACAACAACTTTGATTGCATTTTCACAGGAACAACAACAGCAACAGGGGAAAAAACAAACATGAAATGGAAAATATTCTGGCATATTGTTACAACAAAAACAAACCGGGAGAGAAAAATATATTCGTGTATAGAGATGGAGACGCACTTTCCAAATCGATTTTTGATTATTTTTGCTTATCATTCTGTTTGCTCCACCCCCCCACACATACAACCACCCACACCCAAAAACAAAAAAAAACAAGGAACAAGGAACCCGCGCCGTAAATTCAATTTAATTTTCTTTAAATATTATTTGAGACAATTTTTGCTTGCATTACAACGAGAAAAAGCGGGAATACAATTTTGTTTTTTCTTCTTTTTTGTATTTTATATCATGTTTACTTTCAATAACTTTTTCCGTCGTTTTCTCTGCCAGTCCTCAAACAATTTCCATTTCGCGCATAAACCTGACAAAAACAACAACGGAAGAAAATCCCAGAGCGGGGGGAGGGGGAAAACAAATTTCTGTTCGTTTGCTATTTATTTTATTTATAGCTGAGAGCCTTTTTTGCATTGGACATTTTGTTTGTCGGCGCAAATTGAAAAATATAATTGAAACAATAAATTTGAACCTGTTGAAAGAGTTGCGTTGCAAGAGGAATCTGTGGATCTTTTCTGTCAAATATACGAGAAGCGGTGGAAAAAAATCAATTTAATTTCAGGTTTTTCTGCTTCGTTTCGTTTTTTTCGTTTTGTTCATTTTTTTTTGTTCTTTGCTGGCTTAAAACTACAAAAAGTTGTATGCGTCAGAGACCAGATCTCTCTGACCAAAAGTCAAGTCATTCGCCAAAGTAAAGCGTACCAGAGGTCCTGTTCCTGGGCTACATAAACATCCCTTAGCTTCTTGTGGACTTGTGTGGGGGTGGTTTGCACTCAAGAAAGAATAAAAGAAAGCAAGCAGCGGCAAAGCAACGAAACAAAAATTTAAGAAATGTTAAAAAAATAAAAAGAGAACAAACAAAAAGAGTGAAAATTACGACTAGAGGATACCACCGATAATTAGATTTACAAATGAACAATACGATACGATAAAATACGATTATGTTGCTACCAGAAGGGGAGACTATGGCACACATTAAATATAAACGCTTCTTTCTACCTGTAATATACATCTACCTATTCATGTGTAAAGCATACCCCGACTAGTATACAGGGTATTCAATGCTCCACCGACTCAGCCTCAACAGCAGCGGCGGCATCAACGAACAATGCGTCAAACGTGCAACATGAAATGCGCTAACAAAAAGAAAAGAAAAAAACTTTCACAGTACGTATGTATGTACATATGTATGTAGCTGGCAGAGGAGTCCTTGCTGTGGCAGGAGCAGAACTGTGAGCAGGACTTTGCACTTAAAATACACTCGCACGCACACACAGCAATACTCTCGCATACAAATGCAGCACAGCGTGCGTCAAACAATTTAGCGCATTGCATTACAGCTGGAAGCGCTGTGGCAAAATGGAGAAAAAAGTTGCAATGCAAGTTTTCTAATTGCAATGGCGCTGCCGCCCATCCTCCCCCTCACCCATTGAGGATATTGGTGGAAAGGGACCAACAGCATAGGGTGGGGGGTGTGGTCGGGGTAAAGGCGGAAATGTATGTTAGCACGCACGCATACGCATAAAGTACTATTGTTGCTGTTGTTGTCGTTCTGCTGCTGTTGCTGCTGCTGCTGTTGCTGGCACATCATCAGCAATGCAAACAAATACGCATAAATAAGCACACACACACATGCACACACGCAAACCATCTCTCTCCTCTGACGCACTCTTTTATGCAAGAGAAAAAAAACGTAGAAGAAACGATGGAGAGGGGGGACAGCAGCAGCAGGAGCAGCAGCAGCATAAGAAGTGGAAACATAACAGAAATTCAACACGCACAAACAGCAGCAGCAACAGAAAGAAAGTCTGCGTCAGTACAGAAATTTGAATGCCCTGTAGGAGCCAGATAATATGGGTATATGCCGACACGATCCAAGAAAGATCTATGCAAAGTTATGGTCTGGGCATTAATTAAAAGTCCGTGTCCGTGTATATTGATGAATGATATCTACGCTTTAAAGGATGGGAAATTGTTTCTGCTCTGCACTGCACCGCAGCCAATATACCCTATAAAGAAT